GAGTGTATTGTTGGGGTGTCTGGAGTGGTGTAGAAGCCTGCCTGCTGCAGACCACATCATCATCCTCTTTCTAAGGCTCTAACAGGGGAATGTCTCAACCTGTGTTTTGCTGCAGTGCGTTCAGTTTGTGGAGCAGTACGAACCCGTGGTTGTGCAGCTCTTGGCAGAGATGATGGATCCCACTTTTGTTTGCACCGTGAGTATTGCGTTCAGCTCCATTGATGGCAGGCTCTGAGGCAGCCCTGCCTCCTCCTCCTCCTCCTCCTCCGTGTGCCTTTCAGCACGCAGGAACTCTGCTGGAATAGGAATGGGAGCTCTGAATGCCCGGAGCAGACGTGGCTGTGCGGGGCCTCGGGCTCTCTGAACGGGCAGCTGTCCGACTGCCAGCCTTGTGCAGGGAGGGAGCTGCCAGCACTGAGCTTCAGCAGCAAGGTGTCACCTGCCCTGAATGTGATGACAGGGAACTTATGTGATGTTTCGTGAGAAAAGTCCCTTTCTAGAAGCTCTTGTTTCTCAAAACTTACTCTGCAGAAGCAGTTGTAACTTAATTTTGCCTCATGACAGATTACTGCCCTGTGGCTGCTCGCTCATTGTGACTGCAGTTCTCAGTTGAGCATGGTACTGTGGGAGTTCCTGAAGCTATATCAGCATCACTTCCACGCTAGGCCAGGTGGAAGCTTGGGCAGCTGAGATGTCTTGGTGCAAACAAAATGATGCTGACTCTGCTGCTGGTCTTTTTACAGAAACTTGGAGTCTGTGGATCAGCTAAACAGCCTCTCCTGGGAGATGATGCTTGTGTCTGGGGTCCAGGTTACTGGTGTAAGAACATGGAGACTGCTGCTCAGTGCAATGTATGTAAAAGAGGATTCTGCCTCTGCTTTCCTATTGGTCTTTGACAGCTCTGTATAAATTACTTTTCTGACTTCATCCCTTCCAAGTGGATGAATTCCAGTTTCAGAAAGCAAAAGGTGATTGAGTTTGATAAGAGGGTCTTCCATAGCCCTTAGCTTTTTTAAAGTAGGCTGTTTGCTCTCCCCTTTGTTCCTACTCCTTACTTATCTTCCAGCATCTCAAAATCTATGATGAGAGCTTTATATTGAGTCAGTGTTCCTGCAGCCAACATGCTGTGTCATGACCTCATCAGGCTCTAAAAATTGTCTTCCAATATTGCTGTGGGCTGATGCTTTCTTTGCCAGGCCTTAATGGCTGAACTTCAGCATTCATTCCTGAAGCTTCTGGGTGGGGGTGAGGATGTTAGTTATTCTGGTCCTTCCTGGAATTACATCTTTTAAGAGAAGCAGATTTGCTCCCAAGGTCTTGGCTGAGAAAAAGGTGTTGGATTGCATGCGTAGATGCACCTTTGTCTGTGAACAGGCTTTTTGTCCACTAACACAGGCTCTTTCTTTCCCTTCAGGCTGTTGATCACTGCAAACGTCACGTGTGGAACTAGAAGAAGAATTTCCAGTTCTGAAAGTTTGCCATGGCTCTTATGTGGGCCAAGGTTGGCGGAGAGCTCTATCTCAAATGCCCCTCCTCTCTGCCTCGTTAACAATTTGACCTTCAAGTCCCTTTATTGTAACTCTTCTGTAGCAGTGCTGCTGTTGAAGGATCAGATCTTCATTGTTGGCTTAACAAAGATATTTCTGATTGTACAGTTTAACTCATTATGCTCCTAAAAATAGTGTTGTAGTTTTTCAATTGGTAGGCTAAAGTGGTTTTTTAAGTGCTGGGAAGAATGACAGAGAAGGTGAAATGAGATGAGACTGTTATCTTTTAATTTAAAAAAAAAAGAACAAGATAGTGACTAAAATTTCAAATGTCTTTCCATATGCAGCACTGGGAGGATGACAGGCTTTGCATTTTTAACATCTGGTTGGGATATTAATTTTCTGTGTA